CTGTCGAGATCGTAACACGATGGCAAAGAGCTCCCAATACCGGACCCTGGGTTAAGAACCAATGTTTCCTCCATATAATTAAGGCACGAAGGACCTTGATCATACGAAGTGGGTTTCCCCTCGGGGAGAACCCTCTGGTCCTTAGCCACCACTGTAAAGGTCTCATGTACAGCAGGCCAAAAGGAATCACGTTGGACGCTGCCGCCAAGAGACCCAACAGTCTCTCGAACTGTTTCACAGTGCGTGACTGGCCTAGCTTTAGCTCTTTGGTGGCTTTCAGGATAGCAGCTACACGAACGGGCGATAGAGTGGCCCGCATCGTCACTGAATCCCATACCACACCAAGGAAAGTGGTTCTCTGTACTGGAGAAAGAACACTCTTCTTGGCGTTGAGCCTCAACCCCAACATCTGCATATGGGCGAGAACGACACCTCGGTGCCGAACCGCCAACTGCTCTGATTCCGCCAGAATCAGCCAGTCGTCGATGTAGTTCAGAATACGTATGCCCTGAAGCCTGAGAGGGGCTAGAGCTGCATCCACGCATTTCGTGAACGTGCGGGGTGATAAAGCTAGACCGAAAGGAAGAACCCGATATTGGTATTCTTTGCCCCCGAAAGAAAACCTTAGGAACTTCCTGTGCTGAGGGAGGATGGAGATATGGAAGTAGGCGTCCTTCAGATCTATCGTGACAAACCAGTCCTCGGACCTGATTTGAGTCACGATCTGTTTGAGTGTCAGCATCTTGAACTTGAGTTTCTGTACTGAACGATTCAACAGACGAAGATCTAAAATGGGACGCAACCCCCCATCCTTTTTTGGAACAATGAAATAACGGCTGTAAAAACCCGACTCTCTGTCGGGTGAGTACACCTGTTCTATAGCTTCCTTTGCTAACAGGGCCTTTACCTCTTGCTCCATTACCAGAGCCTGCTCGGGATGCACCACTGTGGGCAGCACCCCGTTGTAACGAGGAGGACGAGAACCAAACTGGATTCTGTATCCTTTCTCTACAATCTGCAGGACCCAATGAGAAATATTCGGCAGAAGCTTCCACGCTGCCAGAAAATTTACTAAGGGAACCAGCCTCTCGAGGCTGGTCTCTGGTGTTATCGAGACAGCCAATTCCGGAGCCTGAAACATAATGGCAGGAACTACCTGAACTGGCCGCTCTAAGGCCCCCCTCAGAGGGCGCGAAACCGATGCTGTGCCGCAGCATAGCATCAGCGACTCGCTGGAGACCGCTGCGCCCTGAAGCACCAAGGGTGGCAGGGTTGGCAGAACGGTCTCGTGAGGACCCCGAAATGGAACGGGCACCGTATAATGAGGTGTACACCGCTCCACTTCGGTCGGGGCTGTCCTCACAGGCCTGATGCATGAACATCAGGACCTTTTTTTTTTTTGAACCGAAGTCTTCTTCGCCTGAAGAACGGTCCTCAGATCCGGCTTCGACTTAGAAGACTTCGGTTGAGAGGGTTGCGTCCGTCTCCAGTCTCTACGTGGAGGTGCACGAGACGCAACACTCTCTTTCTGATGCACACGATATGATGAGCTCGACGGCTGGGGCTGCTCACGCCCAGCAGTCCCAGGGGGCTGGACCCGGCGAGGGATAAACTTTTTAAAAACGTCCGCTTGTTTCTTTGACTCCTGAAATCTCTCGACGACCGCGTGGACTGCGTCGCCGAAGAGACCAGAAGGTTCAAGCGGAGCATCTAATAAAAAAGCTCGATCTTTCTCTTTAATTTCAGACAAATTTAACCATAAATGTCTCTCAGTAGCTACCAAGGCTGCCATAGACCGCCCAATTGCTCTGGCGGTCTCCTTAGTAGCCCTGAGAGAAAGATCGGTAGCCCGACGAAGTTCACGAATATCGTCATGACTGACTCCCTCACTACTATCCAGATCCCCCAGCAGGTCAGCTTGATAAGCCTGGAGCACTGCCATAGTATGCAGACATGCTCCAGCTTGACCTGCTGCCGTATAAGCTTTGCCCACTAACACCGAAGTGGCTTTAAGCGGTCTAGTGGGCAAAGCCGAGGCTTTCAGAGACGATGCGGGACCAGGGGAAAGATAACTGGCTAAATTCTCTTCCGCCTGGGGCATCGCCTCATAACCATACTCTTTCAGCCCTCTTATTCTCGAATAAGTGTTAACATGAGGGCTGAAAAGACGTGATGAATATGGTTTATTCCACGATTTAGAAATTTCATTGTGCAAATCGGGAAAAAATGGAAGCCCTCGTGGTGGAGATAATGTGGTGGAAGATAAAAAGCGCTCATCTAATTTGCTTTTAGGACGAGCGCCCTTCTTCTCAGATGGCCATTCAATATTTAATTTCTCTACAGCCCGCGACATAACATCCACCAGCTCATCATATGCTGGGGAAATAAATTGTGAATCTCTTTCCCCCATGTGTGTGCTTACACTCTCCACACTCATCGCATCAACCTCCTCGGAGGAAGAGCAATAAAGTAATGGAGGGCTCTCTCCCCGGGCAGAAGAAACCGCAGAGCGTGCTTCCGACACCGGGGAGAGAGCACTGGATCTCTCGGGTAAGGAAGGAGAAAGAGCCCTCGGACCCGTCTCCAACCCCTCCGAAAGATCCTTTTGCGATCCCCAGGAATGCATTCTCCGCGCTGCCTCAGCAGACGCGGGTCCTGATCCCTGTGGATCGCGAGCCTGCCCACTCTCTTTATCAAAGAGTGACAGGCGAGAGCGGAGCATGCGAAGCGGTAACATCTCACAATGCTGGCACTCAGCCCCCTCGAAGGCTGAGACCGCATGCTCCACTCCCAAACAAACGACACAAAGCTCGTGTGTATCCCCACCCGTTAAATAACGCGGGCAGGGAGAAGCACACTGTTTGTACACTTGTTTAGTTTCCATCCTTTTCCGCAACAGACAACAGTAAATAGACAGAGACAAAATGACACAGATCGCTTGCTGAGACGCAGAAGCTGATGCCGCGTTTCACCGGGTGAGCCTTTATCCCTTCCTGGTCATGACGTCACCCGCCCGTGACGCTCATTCTTTCCATTGGACTAGTTGACATTGATGCTCAGACGCATGCACGCTGGGGGCGTTCCCAAGGCCTCAAGTGACGCATCGAGAGTTCCCTCGAAAGGGAACTTACCCGTTTCATTTTCGTATGACTGACAAATATGAATCACATTCAGTTTATTAAGACAATTATATAAATCTTATCTGTTTCATTTATATATGACTGAAAATTATGAATCACATTCAGATTATTAATTGGTTTATGTTAAAACTATGTCATCAACATGTGGATGGAAATTTGATATGCAATTCAAATACATAAATCTTATGTTTAGACGTAAATGTTTTTTTGAGTGTAAATAAATACATGTATAGTCCTGCTGCATGGGTTTTTGTAATTATTGCAGATAATATAACAAATAAATAATTATTGATAGGCCTACTTGTTAAAGGGGCTTTGTGTTTCATTTATTAGGCTAGTCTACTGTCAATCATGGAAAAAAAGAATGAACAAATTAATTAAAACGAATTGAATTAATAAATAAATAATAATATTGAAGCACATGCTTTTCTGTCTCATTATTGCAACATCTCTCTATCTCTCTATCTCTCTCTCTCTCTCTCTCTCTCTCTCTCTCTCTCTCTCTCTCTCTCTCTCTCTCTCTCTCTCTCTCTCTCTCTCTCTCTTTCTAATAACTGCATTAATAACTGCATAAAGCCGGGGACACGCTTACTGTAAGGCCGGTTATGAATGTAATTTGATACTTATGACTGATCATGCCCAAACGCGTGTTCAGCGCGTTCAGTCTGTATTCACAGTCGGTTTAAAATCTGCTGCAGTCGATGAAAGCAGTCAGTCTTAGAATGTTTCAGCTAGTCGTTAAGTGTGTCCCCAGCATTAGTCTGCTATCAGTGGCTCAAACCTAACTCTAAAATGACGTTTTGGAATTAGCAACGGAGGCATGGGATTAGATGCGTAAGAAATTAGTCCTACATAGCCTACAAGAGCGTTTTAATGACAAACATCTGACAAACGTCTTGAAATACAGGATCTGAACAATGTTTTGAGGCGTGACTGTAGTAGGCTATAAGCGGAATAATTGACTCCGGGCCGTTGAATTATTAGAAAAATCATGCACACCGTAGCCTATTTTATGCACACGCTTCGCGTCGTGACTGCATTACCACCTCGGGTGTGCATTATTTTTCTAATAATTCAACGGCCTGTCGTCAATTATTCCTTACATATCCATCTGAACATAATATTTAAGCTATGCATTATTTACATATGCGGATAACAAATAAAAAGTAAAGAAAATAAATAAAATAAAAATACATTTGACACGAATGAACTAGAGTTTTAATAGCCTATGTTGGGGACAAATAGCTACTCACTGCTGCAGCAGCCTGAATTGTATGATGCTACATAGGGAGAAATTGAACTCCCTTTTAAAAAGGGCAAAATAAATGTGAACTAAATTAGTTGCCATAATGAATTCCACAATGCCAGATGGAATTATCCCTTTATGTGGGAAAAATACAGCAAAAAATAAATAAAAATAAGCTAATGTATACTGTGAACTTAGATGTAGGCTACCCCATCGCTCCAAAACAAACATGCATTCTTATTTTCGTCCACACACCAGAATCATAATTCATTCTTTGTATTCCTCAAATAACACAAACATGTCAAGCAAGTTGACAGCTGTGAGCGCGCGCGCGGAGTATGCATGCATGCCTTCCAGCAGGTGGAGCAGACTCTGAGCCTCCACATAACACTAACAGCTTGAGAGCAGGCGAGACATCTCTGCCACTGGCGTCATCGTCCTCATCTCCAAGCAACCCCTCCATCAGCACTGGCGTCACCGTACGACGAGCCCGCACAGTTGCTCGGCAACTTCTGCCTTGTGCGCTCGCGCCCAGCTCAGAGCTCTGACGCGAGTATGACGTTAATGAGGCGGGTATCAGTTTGTTATGGCAAGAGGAGGAGGAGTCGTCCCTCATCACACCATGAGCCTGTAGCGTTTGTCTCATGCCAGCAGAACTGCTCTAGACTAGAGCGGAGCCTCAGTGGCCGGAGCGGCACTTTGTACATAGTAGCGCGCTCCGTGAAAAGTGTATATCGTTGTACATAGGAACTATATTCAAGACAGAATAAGAACAAAATATTTTCCCCTCAAAATTTGCACAAGGAATAAATTGTAAATGCAGACTTAAAAACATTTGTGCTGTGGAAGGAGTTGGATTTTATTCATGTGTTAAAGGTAAGCGTATTTTTTTTTTTTGCTACTTTCACATGACGTGCATGTGTACAGTTAATATCTAACAGATATAAACACTTTCCCATTCAATACCCAGTTGTTTAGTTGTTTTTATTTATTTGTTTCTAATTTGATATTTCTCACTGAATTTCAAGGACATTTATGGACGTTGTGCGCTGCTTTTACTTGTTAGCCTATGTGCGGTTAGTTTTAAGTTGATAGCAATTTGAATGCTATAATTTGAATGACTATTCCACTTAAATTAACTTGCTTTTAAGTGAGCTGAAGATATGTTATATAGCTATCAGTGCATCTTAAAAATAAAATGTTATTAGGAGATTTGATTTATTGATGTATGAAGCACTCATAGACTGTTCTGTGAAGGCTGTGATAGGATTGCAATGTGTAAGAATCATTGCGAATTAATAATAATAATAATAATGAATAATAATAATGACTGCAAATTTGTCCTTAAAGTTCAGTATTATTTTTGCACATTTATAACTTACTATTTATTGTTTATTGCAGATACAATTAAGTTATCGCTGCGCTTAGGCACGCACAAACCGGCATCATGGTTATAATGACGGACAGCATTACGGGCTCTCGGTCAAGTTGTGCCCAGTCCAGGCCTCTGCAGGTCGGCTTCTATGAGATCATCAGAACCCTCGGCAAGGGGAACTTTGCTGTAGTGAAACTGGCCAGACACAAAGTAACGAAAACACAGGTAAGACTCCTGCATCATGCAATGCCTTAATATAATGGGTTTTTTTTAAACGTGTATATTGTATAGGCCTATATAAATATTTTTAATTATTATTCTTTCAAATCGGTCAATAACAATAGGTCTAATAAGAATAATAATACTGTACACTGTATTTGAACAACAAATGTTTTACATAAAATATTAAGACATTTTCAACTATTTTTAGTAAGTTATACAAGATTCAACTATTTTTTTGAAGTCAGTTTAATGTAATTTAAGTTGAAATGACTTAAATGTCCAAGTTGATTGATATTAAAAAATGTAATAAATAAATATTCTGAATAAACAAAGTGCATTTTATTCCATGCAGGTTGCAATTAAAATAATTGATAAAACAAGACTGAACTCTGCCAACCTGGAGAAAATCTACAGGGAGGTTCAGATCATGAAGCTGCTCAATCACCCTCACATCATAAAGCTCTATCAGGTAAGTTATTGGATTTGTAAAGCTAATAATGATGTTATAATTACAAAGAAAAGCCTGATAAAATCCCTGGATTAATGTCTGAGGGAGTGTTGTGTATTTTAGCATGCTCAGTGACATTAAGAGAGTGTGGCGTGAATGTCTAAGTGGTCATATGGTGAGGTGTTCTTCCCTGGAAGTTCATCTGGATATCATGAAAAGTATAAATAGACTGAAGTTACTTTCTCGCTTGCATCCAGCTTCTGCATAGCAACTCTCCACTGCATTACACTGTTAATTATGTTTCGTCAGATCACCTAAACCTTGTTTTATTTAATTAAAAATATATATGACAGAAAAAAAAGAAAAAAAGAAAATAGAAGCAGAAATAGATCCTTAAAGTAAGAACTGCAGGGTTTTGCTAACAATTATTTAGTAACAATGGCCGTTTTTATTTGCATTTAAAAAAAAAAATCTGATTCAAGGTTGTTTTGAGGTGATTTGTTGGCTTTTAGATCAAATTGTTTTTTTAAATATTATTATTGGACAAATCTGTGTCCAAAATGTGTGGTTTTGCCTGGAAATGAGAGACACAACAAGAGAAAGTGTGTTGGACATAAGGATTCAGGATCTAAATCTCGGACTTGTCTGTAATGAGAAAAAATCTCTAAGTACAATCTGATTTGATCCTTGGGCTTGTTTTGTTACCATAGTTTGGCTCACACACTCATGCCAAACAGTGGCAGGCTAGTACAGGGTGCTAAAGCGTCAGCGCATTCTTGCTCTCTTGTACCCTTTAAGTATGTTTTGTTCAGATTAGCATTTTGTGGATTATTCATCATTTGTAGTTTGATATGAGCTTGATGTGCTTTTCCTTCAGCATACCCTTACATATTAATTAAAACATACCTTGATGTCATCCAACAAATGAGCTGATGACTGCAATATCAGTAAGAATCCTTTACGAAAGCGTCCTGGATTTTCAGCGCATTTTGGTGTCAGATAACCTGGAATGTAACTCTCCTCTCATAACTTAAACCCTGTTTATTTAAAGGAGAAAGCCTTTGAGATGAAAAATAGGGAACTAGTGACCCATGACCCTTCATGATAAACTGTTTCCGTTTTCTTGCTTCTTGTACAAACAGTCCTTTTATTGCCTTTAGCTTCTCGTTCACTTCAGACACACTCTCTTCACAACTAACAATAGTCTCCTTCACTCATCTCCCTCTGCATTAGCGACGGGGGGAGACGTCTCTGTGGGCCAAACAGGCCGGGGTTTCTAAGGAAGCTATGACATCATTGGCACCTCTGGGTTGACATTAAAGGCTGAAGTCTTTGGACGCTTGGGTTATCTGGAGATAAAGACCCTTTTCCTGCTGTTGCACAGCCTGACTACGTGGGCCATTACACATCGTATTACGCACTAACCTGAAGTATCGAGTGTCTGAGCTTGTGTATGGATGATTACACAGTTTTCTCAGTGATAGAAAAAGAGGATATCACAGAACCTGTTGTGCAACTTTTTCTAGTGGCGCAGCAGCGTTTAGTGTTTCTCCCTCAAGCGATTCCCGTGAACATACAATACATTTTTGTAAAGGGTGAGGACGTCATACACCCTCTCTTTTATAATTGTTTACGATGTTAATGGTTGCTGCAGTTCCTTTTGTGTCACTGCATGCCTTTGTGCTCAAACTAGGTCTTATGTGTGAACATGTTTAATGGTTCATAAGAAATGGGTCGGTGAAGATAAAGTTTCAGTTGTCAATAGCTTCTTCAGTGGCAGTGATGGATCAGACTTGGACTATTTGTGTGTGCTCAGGGCATTCAGAAAATGTTTTACTCTCTTATGCAATGGTGCATGTCATTACAAACTAACCTGTCCTGTATGAATGACAAGAACTATGAAAGACGTTGACAGAAAGAGGGAATTTGGTTTAAAAGTGAACATGAGAACACAGAGAACACAAAATGTTTTTTTTTTAAAGCTAGCAAAATATGTGGTAATAATAATAATAATAATAATAATGATTCACTAATTAATAATATTTATTTAAATGCTAGTGTAATAAACAATTTTTTTATAATTCTATGATGTTTTTGTCTTTACAGGTCATGGAGACCAAAGACATGCTGTACATTGTGACAGAGTATGCAAGAAACGGAGAAATGTTTGGTAAGTGGAAACACTTTTATAAATGAATGACTAAGTAATCTGTGAAAAGATTGAAGGGCGTCTATTGTTTTTGACGTCTGTGTCTCTCCCAAAAACCTCTTGTCCAGTTGTGGATAATGAGGTCTGACGGGGAAAGAATTATTTAGATCAACACTGCCGTCAGAGTAGTGAGTCAGTGAGTGAGCACAGAGCGAGACAGGTGTTGGATTTTCAAGCTTTATGTAACTGTATAAAAGGGATAAGCTGCTGTACCTCTGCTTGTCCTCACCACCTAGGGATTTAAACACATATACAACATATCTGTCTCTTCACCTGTCATATACTCAGCCTTTAAAAAATAACAATGGCTGTCTCCCCAGATAAACCGTAGGCTTGGTTATGTCTTTATATGGTGTTTTTTTAAGGCAATGTCTCCTCCCTTCCTAAGCCGTCCTCTTCTTTACAGACTATCTGACTTCCAATGGAAGGATGAGTGAAAACGATGCTCGTAAGAAGTTTTGGCAGATTCTGACAGCGGTGGACTACTGCCACCGACACCACATAGTCCACAGAGACCTCAAAACTGAAAACCTGCTGCTAGATGCCAACATGAACATCAAGCTGGCAGGTGAGCAGAGAAAATAAGATTTTTAGGGTTCACATATTGATGTGCCCTGCTCATAAACCCTACCCAGTGCCAGACTTTGAGTGTCTTTAAAAGAAAGTAATTACTGTATTCGCAGGATCAGTAATACAATTAAGTAATCAAACCAGTCTGCTTCTTTGTACCAACACAAGTCATTCATTATATACTTTTATTTCAGAAATGTACACTATTCTGAAGAAATTTAATGAGTAATCAGTCTTTTCATCAACAAAAAACTTACTTCTGTTCTGTTTTTTCCAGACTTTGGATTTGGAAACTTTTACAATGCCGGTGAGCCTCTGTCCACGTGGTGTGGAAGCCCTCCATATGCTGCCCCAGAGGTCTTTGAGGGGAAGGAGTATGAGGGGCCACAGTTAGACATTTGGGTATGTTCATCATTCGTATTTTCACCTGATGTCTTACACAGCTCCTGAATATAAAATTAAAATTATATAATTATGAAAGTATATTGTATACAGTGATTGAAAACCAAAACTATATATAAAACTACTATATAATATAATATAATATAATATAATATAATATAATATAATATAATATAATATAATATAATATACACTTCTTTGCTGCCTTGCCACTGGTATAAATGCTAATCTAGTTTAATACATGCTCCAAATGTTTTGTCTTTCACAGAGTCTGGGTGTGGTTCTGTATGTGCTGGTTTGCGGGTCCCTGCCCTTTGATGGGGACAGTCTTCCTGCTCTGAGACAAAGAGTGACAGATGGCCGATTCAGAATACCATTCTTCATGTCACAAGGTACAGATCTACACTCCCTCTTTTCATGTACAATGCTGCAGCATCATAAAAAAACAACATTTTTGACCGAAACCTCCTTATCTCCTTGTCCAGACTGTGAAAATCTAATTCGTAAGATGCTAGTGGTTGACCCTGCCAAGCGGATCAGTGTGGCTCAGATCAAGCAGCACCGATGGATGCTTGCGGATCCTAGTGCACCCCACCAGACCCTTTCCCTGTCCCTTACTGACTACAACTCCAACCTGGGAGACTACAGTGAACCCGTCTTAGGCATCATGCAGACCCTCGGCATTGACAGACAGAGGACTGTGGAGGTGAGAAAATGGGCAGATACAATGGGATTGTAGAGACAGATTGTGTGAATGTTACAAACAGTATTTGCTCAGACATTTCCAGCAGGGAAGGGCTTGTTTACCACAGCAAGGTTTAATACATGTTGTTCGAAAGGGCATACATTGTCAAATTGTCACGTCAGAATAAAAGCAAAAACCTATCCAGCTTCCTGTGGCTTTAAATATGCTCTACAGTTGGCACCAAAAGGATAAACACAGTAGCCTCTGTTTTGAAAGCTGCCATATGTTGCTTTTAGCTTTCACTAAAATCCCTTAAGAAGTTAATTCTTGATGCAAACTGCCTGTGTTTCATTACACCTGTTAATGTGACACTCAGTATAACCACTGTGTCTAAAACAGTTTTTCAATTGCTCTCCACAGTCTCTCCAGAACAGTAGCTACAACCATTTCTCAGCAATCTATTACCTGCTGCTAGAAAGAGTGAAGGAGCACCGCAGCCAACAGCTGAGCCGCCAATGCGGGGCCTGGACTCAGAGGTCGAGGACAGCATCCGATTCCTCCGCCCCAGAGGTGAGTGTCAAAGCGAGGCCAAGAACATCTCCTGTTTAAGATGAAATCTCCCTCTGCTAACTCAGCCTTTCCTCTGTCCATCTCACTTTCAAGGTGATCCTGGAGTCATCTGACAGCTTCAGAACCTCAGCCTTCCCCATCACCGCCAAGGTGAACGCTCCTGTCCATTCAGAGATGGAATTTGAACAAGGAGGCCTGTTTCAGGTCAGTACTTCCCCCGGGCTTGAAGTAATTCCTCTTTAGATTGGGGGTCGGCAATTATGGTCCTCAAGGCACTGTCCTGCATGCTTCAACCCTGAACACACACCTAAGCAAGCTAATCAAAGTCTTCAGGTCCACTGTGTTTGATTAGGGCTGAAGCTAAACTTTGCAGGACAGTGGACCTTGATTACTCACCTCTGCCTTAGACCCATTCTCTTCCTAGTTGCTCAGTAAATAGACTCCCTGTCCTGTTTCATATTGCAGATATGCAGTGCACCCCCAATCCCCCTCCTCCATAGACAGGCAGTGGCTAATGTGAATGCCTCCCTCCCTTCCTCAGCGTGTGGTGTGCCCGGTGGAGGCCAGCCTGAATGGGCTCCTGTGGAACCGATCCATCTCCCCCAACAGCCTGCTGGAGACCACCATAAGTGAGGAGGTGCGACCTCATGACCTGGAGGAGGAAGAAGGGATGTTGCAGGTCCAGCTGCCCCATCTGCCCAGCACTACCTCCCGAAGGCATACACTTGCAGAAGTTTCCGCTCGATTCCACAAGTGCAATCCACCCTGTAAGTTCAATGTTAATAATATGGTGACTTTAAGGATTTAATGCACAGAACTGGTTGTTAATTACATCTGTTGTCCTCTTTCAGGTATTGTTGTTAGCCCCTCAGACGGTGCTTCCTCTGACAGCTGTCTGAAGTCCTCCTCAAACCCCAACCCGGCTCTCTCCACTGCTGTAGAGGATCTTTCATCACTGCTCATTTCCGGTACTGGCCCTGGGGCCTTAGCCCCTGCTGGGACACCCCTCACTCTTTCCTCCAACCTACTCTTGCAGAACCAAGGCAGCATGCTTGCAGCCAGCTTCCAGGAGGGGCGTAGGGCTTCAGACACCTCCCTTACACAGGGTGAGTTTAACCGAAAAGGAAAAATCTACTTTGATACACATGTGCCAAAAATCACATCATAGACCTCTTGTTGAAAAATCTTAAATGGCTTAAAAAGTATTCTAACTGGACGGTGACTATTTCTGTAGGACTAAAGGCGTTTAGACAGCAGCTGAGGAAGAACACTCGTGCAAAAGGGCTGCTGGGGTTGAACAAGATCAAAGGTCTTGCGCGACAGGTGTGCCCTCCGACCTCATGGTCTAGAGGCAGCCGTGGGTCGCTCGGCCCAACCATGTGCCCTCCCTCAAGCCTCCAGAGCTCTAGTGGCCCCCGTGAACGCCGAAGCATGCTGGAGGAAGTACTGCACCAGCAGAGGTGAGAAGAAACCTATACCTACGCCAGAATGCTGAAGATTGCTTCACCCCTGTTTGCAGAGGCACCCCAACATTACACATTTTCAAACTCTTCGTTATCAAATACACCTGAATCAACTTATCAGCTCATTAGTAGAGGCTCTAAGACCTGAAATGGATGGGTCAGTAAATAGACTCCCTGTCCTGATACATCCAAATTGTGCACTGCTGGGGTGCCTCCAGCAACAGGGCTTGGAAACACTAGGGTACATTTCCTAAATATACCTAAACTCTGTTCTTATTTCATCATACAGAATGCTACAGATTCAGCACCAGCCTCAGCCCCAAGTCCAGGCTCAACAGCCTGTGCTCTTCCTCTCACAGTCCCACCCCTCATCCCCTCCCTCCAACAACCTCTTCGCTCCCGCTGCCCTCTTTTCCAACCCCCCGACTCAACCTATCCTTCCCCAGTGCCAGCAGACCTCCATCGCCTTTCAACACAACCTGTGGCAGCAACAGCAGCCTCAGTCTCTTGACTCCTCTTCCTCGTCCCTGTCTCCTGTGGCATCTGCTGCCCATCTTCTTGAAGCTCGTCTGCACATCAGCCACCGGCCACATCTCCACCCTCAGTCCCAACAGCATTTGCAGATCCAGCCCACCATCCTGTCCCAGGGGCCTTTCTCCCTTCTGCCCAACCAGGGCAGTTGGAGCCTGAGCACCAGCACTGAGTATGAACCGGATGTCCAGGTGATGGTTTGTGCCGGTCAAAAGCAGCAACTCAGCAGTTGTGTCATGGTTAAGTAAAGAAGGCAAAAACTTTGAAGAAAAGTGAGTGATGCTTGCTTCTACCACTCTAAGACCAGAGTGAGTCGGTGGACAATGGTGTTGAGCATCAGAACAAGAAGGCATCTCATTTTGATGATTCTTTCAATAGTTTTCTAATGCAAAGGCGAGACAATTTTACTCTCTCTTCAATTCCATGACCATGTCTATATGCGTTGGAATGACCAGAGACAATAAGAAGCAATAGCCAACCTCTTCATTGAGCCCATGATCCTTGTCAGGTTGTCCTGCCCACACAGCAATAAAGGACAGGGCTCTGAACAAGGAGCTGAAGAGTCTGAGTTTTCATCCATTTGCGAGTGGGTCCACTCATATATAAAACTGGCCTCCGTAATCGTAAATGATTATGTCAGAGATGCTTGTTTATCCTCTAAACAAGTATGAAAATAGGACAGTGATGTCTTCCTCACAGATTTTTCCAAGGATTTCCTTTCAGGTCTTGAGCATTTTTGTTGTTGTTGTTATTGTTTTTCACATCTCCAGAGAAGACCAAAGTTGATTGCTTTTTGTTGAATTTTAGAATTTTGACTCTTTGATTTCTTTCCTAGAAGTTCTTGAAACAAAATGCAGTATCTGAATTATCCTAAACTTCCAAAAATCAAGAAAAATACTGTCATTTAATCTGTGATGTGAAAATGTGTGCAAAGTAGCCACACTATGCCTCCAATTTTTTGTGTGCAATGAAGAGGCGCCTTAGTATGAGGGGAGATATAAGCTAGATATAAGCACAAGAGGTACTGCATAGTGTTCACTTAGACCAGGTCTTTGAGCTTTCGCTATCTGTGACAATGACTTTAATGCTGATTCATGTTGTGTCACATCCGTACAAAGACACTAGACAATTATAATCACATAAATGTGCACCTACCAATGATTTAATGATATTAGGAGACATTGTAAGGTCTAGCTGTTCCGTTTTGGTCCCTCAAGAAAGACTCCTCTCCCATCAGTTCACTACCTCCTCCATTACTGATCATTCACCTCAGAAGGCTGCATCTCAACACGCACTGTATGAGAATAAGTTAGGTCCATTACAATGTCTTTTTTTTAACCGAGAACAAAGAATATGAGAATAGTGCAATATTTCACATTGAAATGTAAAACCAGGAGAGGAAGCTGTTGAAGGAAAGCAAAAGGTACTTCATGCCTGATAATGTTTTTTTATTTTTTATTTATTAGAGCATGTTTTTTTTTCTATTTTGAAATGATTGTATGAAGACCATTTTAACAATGTATTCTGCATGAGCATAGGAAATAAGAGCCTGGCCATTTTCTACAGCTTCTCGTCGTGACAGAGATTGCCTTTGCAGCCAGGCTAGCTTGGTAGAATGGGAGAACTAGAAAAATAACAGGAAAAGCCAAGGAAGATCAAGAGAAACATACTTTTTCTACAGATGTCATGGTGATGAAAAACTCTCATTTTATTAAAGTGTAGAGTGTTCAAGTCTCCCAAAAGCAGTCTTACTGCTCAGATGTAAGAATTAGCTGCCTCCTCTATAGCTAACAAATATATTTTATAAGCAATTGTTTTAGAAAGCAAAGGTCCTCCATTTCTCAGAAAGGTCATGCATTTACATACTCAAATATTTTTTTCTTGATTAAAATGCATACACACATAGCTGAAGACGTCTTGTAGCGATATAATTGCATTTTATAATTTTTCTATTTTAGTTTACAATCTAGGTGCTAGAAGTAGATTTCGGAAGTGTGTTGGGTTTGTGTGCTATTTATATGACAGTGTGTTACCATTGTTGAAGCTCCACCATTTGCTTGAAGCACTGTTTTCATAGCCCTAAATAATCCTGTTGCATGTCTGTCTTTTGTGAATTTGACATATTTGTGCAATGGTTTCTAGTAGTTTAGAAGAAAAGAAAAAAAACCTGTGCTGTGTTGTTTTCAAATTGGATCAAAAAACAACAGTGTTTGAAATCAGTGCAGGAAAAGATGAGTTGAAGGTAAAGCTATTGAAGATAATGTAAGAAGCAGTGTTAACACCCCTTTCCTTTTTCACTCACCACCAAAACTTGTGCCTTTGTCTGAACAAATCCAGTGGTGTCGAAAAAATGTAAGCTTGATTTTAGGATATCAGAAAGATGCAGATGTGTGTAGTTTAAACTCCTTGTGTTAGTTTAAAAACCCCATTGTATACTTTCATTTCATTTGCTGTTTGACAGTAATGCACTTTATGATGACAGTTGCTTTTGAAAATAGTGTTTGTTTCCACTGCAGATATGAGTCTGTAGTTACTTTTGAAACACTGTTTTGATGCTGAACTGTAAAGATTCGAATCTGTGACTTTTTTTATTTGGTTTAATTTCCTGAATGTGCTTGCTTGCTGTATGTGTGATTGTACATGGCTGTGTGAAAGTTTATGAGAGATAGTTTTATTTATGTGGCTATTTATTTGAATAAAAATTGACCTCTTGAAATTAATTTATGTGTGTTTGTGTTTTTCCCCACATTTTTCTGGGTCTCCAGTTGCTTATATCGAATTTCATATTAATATGAAATCATATGTTAGATTCTCAGGAATATTTAAAGACACTATTTTTGACAAATTTACAAAATGCTACACAGATATTAAAATGATAAAATATCCAGCCGTGCAAAAAATGTCGTAATCTGTATTTTTGTCTATAGTTTTTGAGTACATGAAATTTTAAATAACAATAAAATAATGCACGTTCAAAATAAAGCTTGTTTTCAGGGAATATGTCTTTGTTTTGTTAAAACTGTTTTCTAAAATTTCTGAGATTTTTATTTTACTATTGGCTTTTGTTGTTGTTGTTGATCTAACATAACATGGAGGCTTACACTTAAAACTATTATCTTGTGGTTTAAGAAAAAAGAATTATGAATAATATATATATATACAGTATAGTATTTATCTTGTTTTAAGGTACATTTTTTACTCAAGACAAAATACAGATTTATTTATACTTTTTACTGAATTCTACTGACATTTTTTTCTAGTGGTACAACAATCGGTTTGAATAACTTGAAATTTATTTGTAGACCGTAAACAACTCAAACCTGAGCAGCCAACAGAAACATAACAATTAGTGTGCAACACAACAGCACATAATATATAATGTAGTGTGACAGTTTCTGTGGAGAGGACCACAGGTACAGTGGAGTATAAAGCACACGTAAACACATTCCAGTGCATGTGCGCTCATCATGCACTCCAGCGGTAAGCTAGCGGGTGGCTATGTGCCCAGAGAGCTTGGATTGATCTGTGCTGGGAATTCCACGCTCATACGTTCAGCTCCAAAGCCAGCGGTCCATGCCAATCATTCTGACTGGATGCCCTGCTCCAACCTATAAGCTCGAACGCCTGCTCACAGTGTCAGAACTTCTGTCACAGAGACTCTGATTGATGACTCTGCCGTAAATACCTTTGTGTGTATATCCAGATCACTCTGAACTCATAGCTAGACTGCTGATCTCATGATGTGGACCTGCAGTAAAACACCAATTACCAGGAAGAGGCTTCTGTTCTCTGTTCTTCATGCTTCATCATTTCATAAACATCAAAAGTTTTTTAAATGGACACAACAAAAACCTGGTCGGAACTATAATAACACTAAATCATACGAAATCATGAAACGCTATGAAAAGACGGGAAAATTAGAATCTACATCAGCACTGAACAAAATGTAGATATTAAGCATATTTGTGAGGCCGTGTAATATTTTGTTTCCCTTGAGAGGTAAAGAAAAAGGCTTTTTTTTATCAAAACATATTTGAACAGCTTTTTTTTTCTCACAGAACAATATAATAATCAATCCAAGTGAGGAGGAATGCATTTATTACTGAACACTTGACATCTCTTGGGATGTTGAGCATATGATGAGTATCAAGTTAAAGTTAGCTGTCTTTAATGAGGCAAGCATGGACGTAATGATATTACATGGGTTATAGAGTGTAATAGTCGTGTCACGTGTGTATGGTAGGTAAGTCAGAGGTATTTTGTTACAGCACTGCTCTATCTTTCCCTTCTGGGACACGCTGTGGCCAGGATTGTAAGCTGAGATAAGTATGAGCGAGAGATGAGTTGATTCTGTCAAAGGTCAGACTAGCAGCTAGCCGTCCTTGACGGGAAGTTCAGAGAAACCACTTCAAAGTAATTTAAAAATGCTTTTAGTCTGTTCTCAGTTGTCCAGGTAAGTAAGAGTAAACAGAAATGGGAAAATCTATATCAGGGATGCAACGTCGAGTCCTGCAGAGCTTAGCTCTAACCCTGAAAAAATTAAATAAAAAACGCTTTGCCTGTAGCCTTAGCAAAGTACCTCAAAGCTACAATATGTAAGACTTTTGTAATAAAAAATCCCAAAATCACTTGCACCGTGTGATATATTTCCTGCAGTTGTGTACTTACAATATCCCAAAAGTTCCCAAAGGTTTTTAATTTCAGAGAAATTCCCATTTTAAATAATGGCTCGTCCCTGTTCACTTGTCGCCTGTCAATGATGTAATATCCGCGTTATCCCTGGTTTCCGCTCGAACTGCCATAGTAACCATAGCGACAGACATGAACAACTGCGTTACGTCTAGTGGCACGCTCACGCTGTTGTTGTTTCGTTCAAACATTATGGACCATGGCAAGCAGACTTTGGGACAAAAGGATAACTAAAACGAGGATCAAAATCAGTGTGGCGCTTTCGAGATGCCGAGAGCTAGCGTCCACGACTAACTTCGACTTGACAGAGACGTCGCTCTTGCATGTACTTTATTAGACAGGTGAGCAAATGTACATAAAACTAATCAATGTTATACAGTTCAACATGATGAAATGTTAGAATATGATCAGTATGTTATTCTAATGTTGATCTAGCTTACTGCTAGTCTCATACAGTCAAACTAACACATAGAATAACATTATAACTTTCAACACACTCAAATGCAGTTTAGTGTGATAGTGTAGACCAAGTGAAACAGCGCTGCGTTACCTCAAAAGTTTAATTCTTCAAATAAACTGACCTGTGTGAGTAGTACACACCTCGCGTGTGACGCTGATATCTGTCTCTCATTAGCAATCGAGCCCTGATTCATACCACAGTCATGTTAAAAACATCAATGTATTCACTCATCCATAAACATTATTAGATCCATCAGCATGACGACAAGTTCCATAATTCCGCTTATGCGTCATCAACCTACGTCTTTGTTATTGTAAGAGGTTAGCGACCCCTAGCGGTGAAAAAAATTACATATTGTAGCTTTAAAGGCAAGCCTGCAAGGTTAGCAAAAAAAAAGAAAGGAAAAGTGTAATGCTAACGCTGAGGTACGCAGGGAAGGAGACCAGAGGATTTTTTTTTAATGGATGTCAATAGAGGAGAGATGAATAAACTGCTTTTGTGGGAAAACAGCTTATCATTTAATGAATCAACAGCCCATCGGCTAATCTTCAAAATGTTTGCTCTTAAACATTCGTCGTTTTGGATTGGTCTAGTTTTAGAGTTTGCACCGAAAAAATGCTATTTCTAAGAGAAGTCACAGAAAATGGTACGACATGATTCAGTTTACAGCACTTGTTATTCATTTCTATGGTATCTGCAAACATTGACTGTCAATTAAGTGACTTCAAGGCTGTAATGTGATTGGTTATCAAGGCACATGTGATCCAAGTTAACCGTTAAACTTTTTTCCAATGGCAGAGCCACAGACCCAATATCTCCCCATAATAAGACCATCCCTGCTTCCCAATGTCCTATCTATCCTAAATAGTATGATTACATTAGGCCTAAGTGTGTCCCAAAGCATTGTATGTTGAAAAGAGTATCTCAAAAGTCCCCGTATGGTTTACTATGTACGGTAGATTTTCGAGGTATGGATCCGTGCACATATTGCACACAACCCATTGCGCTTTGGAGGAGGATTCGGTTCAGGACTAGAAACATGTAAAAGTAAAAAGTGTTAAAAAAAACTACAAAACATGGCAGATTTGCGCGACCAGTGGTGAGAGGTTAGATAATGGTTTGAGTGATTAATAATCAAAGTTTAACCTGATAAAAATATTATTTTTATATAAATATTAAATATTATTATATTATATTTCATCTGCAACAACATTGTGGACTTTTATAAAGAACCGTTTGGCTTTT